GAGTAATACATTGAATTACAATTTTGTCATTTTACTTGCATAACCCAAGTTTAACAAGAAAAAGTTGTGGCAGGACTTTATTTTACATTTAATGCATTTATTTATTTATTTAAAATATATTTAACAGCAAAAGCCTAGTTCAACAAAAAGAATAGTTGAATGAAAATAGCTGAAAATGTAACCACCCTCTGGCCATCCGAGACATACAGTAGATGAGTTTGTTTCTTCATCAGAACAGATTTGGAGAAATTTAGCATTGCATCACTTGCTCACCAATGGATCCTCTGCAGTGAATGAATGGGTGCCGTCAGAATGAGAGTCCAAACCTCACAGTGATCCACAATAATCCACAAGTAGCCTAATCCACATAACTCCAAATCAAATCTATAATTAAGGCATTTTAACTTTAAACTGTAGCTTCCTCCAGTGAAATGCTCATCCCGTTGTTCTCTCACATTGTTTTCACTTGTAAACAGTGCTTGTTCTGTGCATATTTCTCTCCTGATTCAGACGTGACAACTTTTTCACTGGAGAAAGCATTATTATGGATAGAGGACTTATAATTTTAGTGAAAGCAACTGTCTGAAGTTAAAAACGTCATAAAACAGGATTTATTTATTGTGAACACAGCTTTTTGCTTCACTAGATGTTAATTTATGGATTGGAGTCGTGTGGATTATTTTCGTGTGATGTTTTTAATCAGTCGTGTGGATTACTTGTGGATTATTGTGATGTTTTTAATCAGCTGTTTGGACACTCATTCTGACGGCACCCATTCACTGCAGAGGATCCCTTGATGAGCAAGTGATGTAATGCTAAACTTCTTCAAATCGGTTCCGATGAAGAAACATACTCATCTACATCTTGGATGGCCTAAGGGTGAGAATACGTTAGCAAATTATCATTTGTGGGTGAACTATTACCTTTAAATGCTTTATACATAATGTTTAAAAATTCAATTCAGTTTATACACATTTACTGGAAAGACTTGAGTCACAAAAGCCTCTGTTAAAACCAAAACCTGTGTTATCAATAGACTCTTCCGAAGCAATACATAAAGGCCACAAACCACTGGCTCCAGGCCACAATAGCAGGCTGGTATTCATACATGCTGTGGGTCGCACAAGTCTTCCCTGATAGTGTGAAGGCTTGCTTTTATATCCAGCCGTATTTTCCCTGACTCTCATACTCTGTGTGCCATGTGCTCTTCATATGGGATGCCTGCTCACACTTACCACAGGTCACTTTCAAGTGCTGCTGATGAAAGAGAATAATTTTGTGATGCTTCACTATACATTTATTATGATGACTTTTTTCCAAAGCTGTGCTAAATAAGGGTAAACACAATTTTTGAAAAGAATACGGAGCATGAATGTGACAAAAGTTGGAAAGGCGACAGAAGAAAAATAAATGGAGGATTTTCTGTCTCTTTTTGCAGTGACTCTCCACTTTCATTTTGAGTGACAAATATCCTTTAATGCATGACTGAACTATTAAGGGCTCTTAGAGCAGCACAAGTGAGGAATTGTTGCCGTTTTCAGACTCCTAAAAAAATTCATACAAATAATTTATTTGAACATACAGGTTTTTTTTTTTTTTTTTTAACTAACTGTTTGCCTCAAACCCAAACCAACAAAAGTGACATTTCTCTGGACACACATTACTGTTCGGTATTATTCAGTTTGTCTCCTCCCATTCGTAGCCTAAAATAAAAGTCGCTTCCCCTTTGTTCATGGGGGACCTCACCTTAAATATTAATGCTAAAATAACTCATCTGACAGGAAAGCACACATTTTCAAGGCACTCTAGACTGTCACAGAGTCAAAAGAAGCCCAACTAAACTAAAAGCACAAGCGTGACTATAGCCTGCATAAAAACCCATGCAGTCATATCTAAAAACTGAGGAAAAGTCATTAACTGACACGTCGTAAATAGTGTAATGTACAAAAATAGCAATGTATTTGTCTGTGGTACACTAGGTTAACATTAGTGTTTCTTTGGTTAAGTGTTTCAGAAGAGCACAACGAGGTTATAAAAGTTTCCAAATGCATTGAAACGAGAATATCGCTTGATGAAATCATTATCATACCAATAATAACAAACAAAAAATGTGCATCCTGTTCTACAAGAAGATGTCATGAGGTGGAAGACATGTCTCAAGCAGCCAACTTCCTTCTTATCCACTAAACCAAGAGAAAGAACGTTAAATAAAAGAGGAAATTATGAAAACCACCCGATCAACTTTGCACTGACGGCATGAAAAGTGCCAAAGCAAGAGTTCCCTGTGTCTCAGAACTCTTGCATAAGAAAACCACAAGATTTTCTGCATTTTGTGGAGCAGCATGACATGATCTATGAACGAAAACTGTGTTTGTGATCACTTTGTCAAACCATAATTCCATGTTCATATTTATAGATAAATGTAAATAATATCTAAATGGCAATGACATACCATTGGAAAATACCATGAAAAAAAATAAAAATACCACCGATGACTACAGATCATCAATACCTTTAGCGACACGATTCTGACCAAACATCCACTCATCTTAAGGGAGGGGGAAAAAAACAGCATCCACCATGTTTTCCGCTTGAGGAACAGCCTAGAGCTCACTATCTGATATGGTAAAGTGCAAGAAAAATAAAAAAGAACTGAAAATAATTAATCAAGAAACATAATTTCTTCAAATAATTGCGCAAACCCCTTTGCAATACTGATATGCCCTCAAATATAAATTTAGGGGCGTTCGAGAGAACTTACTGGAAAAGTCCAATTCAAAATATGGATGAATGAAGAGCTGGAGTGTGTCTAAGGTGGAGGAATCAAAGCAAAACACACAGCTAATTTTCCCTGAATGCCTTTTCTCTTTCTCAACGTAAAATCCACATATGGCATAGTATTATTCTTTGAATTTGACTAGAAATGTATCAGAAATAAATACAATTGTACACACCTACTAGTAAGGCACTTCTGTTTGTTTTAGCAT